GTTTAAGAGCACAGGATTTACAGTCTGAAACACGTATGTTTAAGTCCTAGGTACCAGCTAGTTTCCCGTGGGCAAGTTTCTTAACTTTTTGGAGTCTTCCAAAAGTTTCCCATCTTCTAATTGGGAGTAATGATTAGCTACTCTACAGGACTGTGGTAAGGATTAAGTGAGTTAACGCATGTAAAGCATGCAGACAGTACCCAGGCTGGAGTATAGACACTAAATTCTAAGAATGATCTATCACGTTACCAATCCTGGATTCAGAAGAAGACAATACATATTTTCGGTTAGCTATTGCTGTGTCACCAGCACTCCCCAGCTTAAAATACAGCCTTTGATTATGCAACTTGGGCAAAACTCAGTAGGGACAATGCCTCTCTGCCTTGTGGTGTCGGCTGGGATGATGCTCGCATTCATCTGGGAGTTTGACTGGACTCCCACGTGTGGTGCCTCAGCTAGAGAGGCTGAAAAGGCTGGGACTGGCCGGCCTCTCCTGCCGCGTGGCCCAGGGCTCTGATGTGGTGAAAAAGAAGCTCCTTTCCATGGGGTTGGCGCCCTTTGTGACCTACAGTTGATTCCTTCAGTATGTAGATGGTTTCTGGACTGGCTCTTAGTTTAGATGAGCCCTTTCTTATCTCTTTCAAAAAGGTTCTTTGGGGCCTCCATTTTCATTTTCATTTACTTATTCTATTCGCTCAAAAAAATACAATTTAACATACAGTGGTGAGGAAACTAAACAAGGTCCCACCCTCAAGGGGCTTACACTCCATGCAGGAGACTGATGGTAAACAAGTACATAAAGAAATGAAATAATTTCAAGTTGTCATTGGTGTCAGGGAGGAAACCACAAGGGTATTGTTAGAAAATAGTCCTACTTATGGGAGGAAAGATAGGAGGAAAGAGAAACCTCCTCTGCAGTGGGGATATTTAACCATAGTCCTGATAGATGAGGAAGGCCCAATTTTTAAAAGAGCTGGGAATAGGGCCACAGACAGAATGCATTGCATGTGCAAAGGCCCTGAGGCGAGAAAGGCAAGGACCAGACAGAAGGCCAGTGCAGCTGGAGTCCAGGGGCCATTGGTAACATGGCAAAGAGAAGGGTGGTGCCCCAGATTATGCAAGAATAAGAGGCCATGCTTGATTCTGATTTGGAGGCAATAGATAGTCAATGAAGGTTTAAGTAGGGAAATGACATTTTATATTTTCACAAAGGTCACTTTGACTGCTATGAGCAAACCCATAGAGTGAGCTTAGTGACCTTCCCCTTAATCTCAGGTAGGATCAAGGTTTGTCATCACAGAGTGGTATAAAGCACATTGGAGACTCAAACAAGGAGAGGGTGGGAGAAGAGCGAGGGATAAAAAATTACCCACTGGGCACAATGCATACCCCTCAGGGATAGAGAAGTGTCTATTCTTTCTCTTTCTTGGAGGGTGACTTCCATCAGGGCTCGTTCTTCTAGGTCTTGCCTTCATCTTCTTTTACTTCATGGCACCTTTTTTCAAGGTCTGTTCTTTGTTGTCAAGTTCTCCTTTCTAATCCTTCCCTTTTCTTACACCCTTGGTCCTTATCCTGAGGACTTCATGTCTTTTATGTGCCCTAATGAGGTTGGTAAATATTTTCCCCAGATATGTCTTTCTGTGGAAGATAAAGGAATATTTCAAAAATTTACTGTTTTCTTTAGTATTAATGTTACCTGATTCTTCCTCTGCACTTTTGCTCACCTGCACAACTCTTGTAGGAGTTATTGTGTATTACTCAGCTATGGAGCCCGCAGAGTTTAGACAGTGAAGCCAAAAACTGGCTACTCCCAGCAGATCTTGCTGGAAACATTATATATATTTATATCATCTTAAGTTGTCTGCACTTTATATCTGTAATGAATGGGAATAATATTTATTGCAAAATTGTCCTGAGAATTAACTGATAGGTAATGTACTTAAGTGTGTAAGATTAGAAATGTGTATATATA